CCCTGTGCCCCTGGTGCCCGCTGACCGCCGCCTCCGCCGGGATTGTAAGTCGTCCACCTCTGAATCCGCCTGCCGCCGGCCGTCTCCGGCCAGGAGTTTTTTTTTCCTGACCTGTGTGCGCGTCCTCGTGCAGGTTGCTCCTGGATAGGAGGCCGGCGACGCTGCGGGCTCTGCTCTGCCGGGCGTATGTGATTTGCGGCGCCCGCCGGAGCTGGGGATACGCGCCGCTGGGACGACGACCGCAACGACGCCGTGGATGCCTCCGCCTCCGCCGGATCGGAGGGAGTTCCTCTACAGGGACGGGCGCAGGCACGACGCGGCCGCCGGGGACCCACTCCTGCCGGCGCCCCCCGCCACGCCGCGCTGGAGGGACTCCCCGTACCACCCACCACCGCCGCCGCCGCCGCCCCTGCGCGACCACGCCCGGCCCTCGCCTCGCAGGACCGCGTCTTCGGCCTCCTCAGGTAGGTTTCCGCCTCCCAGGCCCTCAGATCTGATACGCCCGCCACCTCCGCTGCCCTGCCGCAACGCTTCTCCTCCTGCCCCGCTGATCCCCCCCACCCTTTCTGCTGTTTCAGAGGGCTATTACAGGCAGGGCGCCGGCACCTATGACCGCTCCTACCCCGACGAGCCGCTGGGCTACACGCCCTCGCGCTCCGACCGCTACTGGCTGGAGGAAGACCCTCCCACCGGCTATAAGGGTTTCAGCCGCTATGGTGGCGGCGGCGGCCGGAGGGACGGCCGTGACTTGCGGGGATCCTACCGGAGGTCTCCGTTTAGGAGCTACGGGGGCGACTTCCCAAGGGGCCACCAGGAGCCCCCGCCTCCCCCACCGTCGAGGAGGTCTCCTCTGAGGTCAGTTGCTGTGCCGATCTGTTACGACCCTCCCAGTGATAGGGCTGACAGGGAGGATAGAGAACACCAACCCCGTGCGACTCCTTGGCGGCCCCTGCGCCGGAGGGAGAGCAGATCTGACGGTGCAGACGCAGCTGGCGCTGGACCTTTGTCAGCTCGTCAGAGCGCTACTGCAGGGGCGGCTTCAGAGAAGAACGCCCCATCGCAGTCTGCGGCTGTGGCAGATTCACAGTCGGCTGAGGAGGAGACACCCAGGAAGAAGCCCCGGCTTGGATGGGGGCAAGGCTTGGCCAAATATGAGAAGCAGAAGGTGCCTGGTTCTTCAGAATCTGCTGAACCTGTTGCTGAAGGGAGCCCAGACGGCGTTGAACAGAAGGAAGTTGTAGGCGCACCTGCACCTGCACTTTGTGCATCTCCAGTGGCCGCACCATCATCTCCACCAGCTGCACCTGCACTTTGTGCATCTCCAGTGGCGGCACCGGCGTTACCATCATTTGCACCTCCATCTAGTTCTCCTGGTATGACACCTGTTTTGACCTTCTTTTCCTTTGTTTATCCCAGTTGTTTTCCATGTGAATTTAATTCCTGTTTTAATCTAGGTCAATATGCTGTTGCTGAATCAGTTCTATTAGTAATGAATGAAAAAAGGATAGTTTATTTGAAAACAATGCTCTGCTTAAACTTCATAAATGTGCCCATGAGATAGCATATGTACT